TTGAAAAGACACATAAAAGGACAAAAATATGTCAACAAATTTCACACCAGAAGGTTAAGAAAACAACCATGCTATATCTTATTCATAGAATTCCTTTCATGACCTTTTCCTGGCTAGATCTACAGAGAACAGAATAAAAGTTGGAACGCTGATCTGGACAATTCATGGAAAGAATCAGTTATTTCGGTCATTATAAGTGTAAAGATTAGGTCTGCCTTCTTTTAGCTTATCTGGTTTGCAGGAACTGCCAACCAATATTACAAATCTGACAAACTGCACAGGATAATATATAACAGTGTCTCTAACAGGGTTCCTGCCAAAAGATCAATTTATTCAACAAACTGCATTTGAAACCCAGTGCTGAGGAGACTAAATGAATATGGAGAAAGAGTTCCCAATAATTAAACTAACTGAAAACTGCAAGTCGTTTCTGGTGTAGGGTTTTTCTAGTCCATGGTCATGTGAAGAAATGCTTACAGAACGAGAAGATTCCATTTACCGCAGTAAATGTAACAAGAAATTCCAGATACATTGCTAAACAGCTGCTTCTTCCCCTCAAACACACCCATCCCAATGCCAACACACTCGTGCACACACACATGGACCTTCTCTCCAATCACGGTCCCTTAAGACCGCTGGCCTCAAAGATTTATATTTTGTGGGACAACTGAAGGGAGCAACAGTTGTCTGGCACAGCTGCAGTCTGAATGCAAAGGCTGGATGGTGGAAACAGTATGTTCAGTTCCAACTGTTAACTCAAGGGAAAGATTTCTCAGAGTAATGTACACTTAGAAACAGCCCAGAGCAGCGTGTTGTTGGTCACTCAAACCCCACAGAGCTCAAACCTCAAGGGCCAATCTGAAAACAGAAGAAACGGGCGGTTTCTCAAAATACTTGAGATGTTCATAACCATAAGCCTTTCGACTTTGCCCACTGAGATGGAATGGATTCCTTAAAACTTCTGAATATTGTAGTGTCAATGAAGGTCAACACCCCACCTTTCTGCATTCTCTCTGATCCTTATTGTTTTAGAAATACATATTTTTGCAGAGTTGTGATCAGTGGGCAAATAAAAGAAATTATTTTTACTCATTTTTTCCTCCCAAAGACTATTTAATCAGATAATTCTAATAGCCTTTTCCTTCCTGTTTGCAAGAATGCTGTGATACTCAGAGAATGAACTCATGGTTGGTGACCAAGGAGGAAGGGTGGAGGGAAAGAGATAGACTGGGAGTTTGGTATTGACACATACACACTGCTACATTTAAAACAGATAACTGAAAAAGATATAAAAATAAAAAGAATGTTGTGATACTGGCTATAATTGTTTATGATTTACTTTTCTGGTAAGTCACCAGGCCATAGTAAATGAGAAGAAATTAATTTGATCTATGCTAGGGATTATGTTTTAGAACCTTTTATGTGATTTTTAATAATTTAGATTTAAAATTAAAAACTATAATTTTTATAATATACTTTGTAATAGTTTTCTTTAACCTCAACTTTTAGAAGAGGGCAAAAATAATAGGAAGTATATTTCTATGCAATATCTTCGTTTGTCTAAAGATTTTGCACATATGATGTGACTGCTGAGCCAACATTCTCTTATACATTCTTTCCTCACTTTTAGTATCTGGTCAAAATTTTATCATACAATACTTCCATGAAAGAAGTGAAGCAGCTGCTCTGCTTTATAACAGTCACCATTTTAAATAGAATTTGCCCATATCATAACTTATGGTCAATAAATAACAGCTGTCACTATTATTATGGCAATCCATGTCTCCTAATGTATGCACTAAGGATTATATTTTATATAAATAAATAAACATTTGGATGTGAGAGCTGGACCATAAAGAAGGCTGAGTGCCAAAGAATTGATGCTTTTGAACTGTGGTGCTAGGGAAGACTCTTGAAAGCCCCTTGGACTGCAAGGAGATCAAACCAGTCAATTCCTAAAGGAAATCAACCCTGAACATTCATTGGAAGGACTGATGCTGAACCTGAAGCTCCAATACTTTGGCCACTTGATACAAAGAGCCAACTCACTGGAAAAGCCCTGATGCTGGGAAAGACTGAAGGCAGGATGAGAAGGAGATGGTTGGATGGCATCACCGAGTCAATGGGCATGAGTCTGAGCAAACTCTGGGAGACAGTGATGGACAGAGAAGCCTGGCATTCTGCAGTCCATGGGGTTGCAAAGAGTTGGACACAACTGAGTGACTGAACAACAACAAAATAAGTATTTATACTTATATAAATACAACATTTTGTTCCATAACATGTTTTTCAAATTGATCATGATGTCAATTTGTGGATCTCAGCCAGGATTTTATTTAAAAAAGAAAGTAAAACACAAAAGAAAATATCTGAATGCATTCCACTTGGTAAGACAAAATATTTTGTGAGACTTGTAGCGTTATGGGGGGGAGGTGTGTGTCTAAAAGGTATTTCTTACTATGGGGTGCCTTTAAAAGTTTCAAGCTCATTGTTACAAAGTATATATTTCTAAAGAACATAATGTAAAGATAGGTATTTACTCTGGAACAAAGGAAAACAACCACCTTTACTTTTCTTTAACAGTCGATCCTTCTCTTTTATATTCAAAGCACAATTACTCAGCTTTTTACATTGCATTAGAGGTATTCAAACCATTTAAAAAGTAATTTTCCATTCATTTCCATGAGCACTATTAGAGAATTAATAGGCCAGCATTTGTTGACGCAATTATTTTCCACAAATGGATTCTCATTCCTTTTCCATTTATCTAACTATGAAATAATAAGATATCCAAGGACTCTTGATATTTAGTTTTCTGTTCTCTCATGATGTCCTATCTCCATGGCAAACAAGTGACAATTCCCTTTTATGACAAACTGATGTATAACCAAACAGCATTTCATTGGAAATTATGAAAAATAATTCTAATTAATCTATACAAAGACTAACCTACCACATATACTCATCCAAATTAAAACTCTTCAAATGTTTCTGAACTCTCTTCACAGAAATCAAAATATTGTGGGCAGAAGAAAAATAACCAATATTCAATATCTTGCATTTCTTATGGAGAAAACAGGCCAAGTAGGATATAAAAAGAAGCATCAGTTATTAGAGGTCAAGTGTTGGGGAACAAATATAGGAGTTCCACACTCCCTTGAAAAATCACAAACTCTCTCTAGGTATTAATCCTATGTTACTGACATCAACATTCAGCATGAGGATTAGTTGCTGGTTATGACTATGGGGAGAGTGAGCATTCTACCTCTAAACTGGATTCACAAATGTGCCACTTTATCTTCTCAACATTTATTCTGGTTAGACAACTGAAAGCTAACATTCATTTTCTCTTTTTCTTTCTTTTCTAAAAATTAAAAACATTATATATTTATTATTTTTTATTTGTATCAGGTCTTAGTTGTGGCATGTGAACTCTTAGTTGCAGCATGTGGGATCTAATTCTCTGACCAGGGATCGAACCCGGGCCCCTTTCATTAGGCGTGCAGAGTCTTACCCACTGGACCACCATGGAAGTCCCTAACATTCATTTCAAATGGAAGGAAGTTCCCACAGGAAGCCTTTTCATAATAAGTGCAGAGGTTTTAAAGAGCAGGGAAGATCTTAAGAGTCTCCTAAGTCACAATTTAGTTCAAACTATTTACTGAGTACCTACTCCATGCCAGGCACTATGTGAGGACCTGGAGACACAGATGTTTTCAATCTAGTGGGAGAGATCTAAAAACATAAATTTTTACAATTCTATATGCTACAGACTATGCCTGAGGTATGTTCAAGATGTGAAGGAGGCATAGAGGAAGATCACCAACCCAGACAGGGTGCCAATGGAGATCAACGAAGTTTCTTAAAGAGGTGATGTTGGAACTCAAGTCTTAGAGAAAAGAGTTCCCCCGGGAACTTAGGTCATAGCGCATGATACATGTTCATGCTAAGTTGCTACAGCTATGTTCGACTCTTTGCGACCCTATGGACAGCAGGGCTCCTCTGTCCCTGGGACTCTCCAGGCAAGAACACTGGAGGGGGATGCTGTGCCCTCCTCCAGGGGACCTTCCCAATCCAGGGGCTGCACCCATGTCCCTTATGTCTCCTGCATCGGCAGGCAGGTTCTTTACCACGGTGCCACCTGGGAAGATCTAAAACTTGTGTGCTCTTCCATTGGCTGGGAATCAAAGCAGGCCTCCCCCACGGCAGGCGAGGATTCTGCCACTGAGCCACTAATGCTGATACCATAGATATTCAGGACATTGCAAATAAGGTTAAACATGAGACTTGCAAAATTTGAAAAACAACAGTGTGATTTGGTTCAATCTAAGCATTGCACATATTCAGAATTCTGCAGGTAGTTTGGTAGCACTGGATCAGTGAGAGGGGAAGACAAGACAGACAAGGTGAAGAGGGCAAATATCAAATCAGAACCTTCTGTGGGAATTCAAGCTGGAACAGACTCAGGTTGGGGTTTTATCCTAGGACTAGGATACCATTCAAATCACTAGGATTGCCTAAGTACTGAAAAATACTACTTAGTAAACTTTAAAATGCCAAAAGAAAACTTAAAACATTAAAAAATTATATTCATAATTCTATCTGCTTAAAATTACAACTATTTTAAAATCTTGTTTCCTTCAATTTTACTTACACAGTTTCTTAATAAACATGCCATCTTAGAGCTCATTAACTTTTGCACTCTATTACTTAACCATGGCTGGTACATCTCATCACCTGTAATCACCACATCTGTTATTCTGATGTCTGCAGAGCATTCCACTAGGTTCTTACGACTGACAACTCAACCATTTTCCTTTTGTCTGTCATGCAGGCAGTTTCCAGACTTTCCTATGCCAATGGCATTTTTTATAAGCAGCTTCTACATGTATATTTTATCTTATGTTTTCCTTGAGGTAAATCCTAAAATTACCAGGCTACTGAGAATGAATATCTTCATAACCTTTTGTTATCCAGGGGGAACAGGGCTGGGTACTTACTGTTTTGCTCCAAGTAAGGCCTGTGGTGTGGTGTTCCTTGATGTATGCTTGAAGCTCACTCCAAATGTTCAGATATGACTTCACCCAATCCACATGACGTAGATCACTTTGTCATAAAAGAGAGTGGAAGAGAGGGGAATTAGGATCTAAAATAAAAATTTAACAACACTGGAAGGCACGTGGCAATCCAATAACTAGAGCTCCAGATGACTCTGGAACAACGGTCTTTCTAGTCCAGTAACTGTGAACTGAGTCTGAAAAGAACCTCGAAAGGATATGGTCCAGGTCTGCCCTGGGAGGAGCCGAGTGCCTGAGGTCTGGTGTGGAGCAGAGAGGCCCGCGGAGAGAGCACCCACAGAACCCAGTCAGTTCATCCTCATGTCATCTCTCACGGGGAGATGAACACAGAGGAGAGATCGTTTCTTTCTGTACTGCTTCTGATGCAAAATGAAACACAATGTGCTCTCAGGCAGGAGAATGGTACTAAAAAGAAAAAAGGTCCTTTGGCTTGTTTTCTAATAATTTGTGGAATTATTCGATTGAAAGTGTAACCAAATTGGAGAATTTTGCACTGATAAGGAAAGTTGCTATAGTAAGAAAAATGATTTCCTACAAATAGTAAATAATTGTAAAGGAACAATCACTTAGATTAACCTAAGTTGATACTCATAATGACAATGAAAGCAAGGCAGGGCACGGCCAGTATTTTTATTCCTATTTTACTTAACCAAGAAGTGGTAAAATACTTACCTTTTAAAACTAGATTAACATAAAGAATTGGGAGAACTGTTAGAAACATTAAATTTATGATATAAACAGGCAAAAATAGTTGCATTTCCTTTGGATAATTTCCAACCACACATTTTTTTCTACTTTGAATAAAGTAGTGGTAAATGAGAAAATGATGAAATCTGTTAACAAAAATTTAATCACAAACCTGAGCCATTAATCTGAAGACAATATCGGAAGGAAATCTCTATTATTTTGCCTTTGTCAATAATGATTTGTCTCTGGATATATTTTGCTTTCCTTGAAAAGTTCTAAGTGCCATGAGCATGTTTAGAACTCCAGCATATTAAGTCATGCCATTTAAGAAAAAGAAGTTCAGTTGGGGAACTGAACTCATAACTATCTGCACCTCAAAAAGGAAAAACATGAGTGATTTTGTTCCACATTTTTAGATTTACTGACTACATTAATCAAATCTATGAAATATTGCATTGTCACTTTCTCTCAATTTTATAGTCAAAAACCCCAAATCCACATATTTATCTATTATATGGTCATTTAATTCATACATGTGCATATGTATGTATGTATGCACAATACAGTCTGTAGGCATTCTAGAAAAAGCAGGTTGCACATTCAACATACTTCTATTAAAAAGCTTAACACATGAAGTCCAAACCCGCATAGGCAAATTACTTTTCTTTTAACTATTATAGTACCATTTAACTTCAAGAAAGTTCTAGCTAAATGTGTAGTAAGGAATAACAACATGGTCCCTTCTAACCCAAAGGCAGACTCTGTGCTTAGTTGTATCCAATCCGTTGCGACTCTACGGACTGTAGCCCACCAGACTCCTCTGTCCATGGGGATTCTCCAGGCAAGAATACTGGAGTTGGTAGCCTTTCCCTTCTCCAGGGCATCTTCCCAAATCAGGGATTGAACCCAGGTCTCCCACACTGTAGGTGGATTCTTTACCAACTGTGCCACCAGGGAAGCCCTTGTCTTAGAGACAACAAATTGAGGAGGACTTAACTATACTTCCAGAGCTGACAACTCAGCCTCAGTTCCACTTCCCCTGGAAGAAGCTATGAGAGGGACGGGTGACTTTTCATGACTATGACTCAGAGAAGTTTTACCTCTGGAAAGTCAAAATAATTAACTTGCTCTTTTCATTTATTGACAAAAGAGCTGAGCAGCCAGTCAAGCCAGCTGAAAAGGCTCCACAGATGCAGAGTCCACTGCCCACAGCCCTTCTGTGTAAACCACAGGGAAGCCTGCCTTTCTACTCCTCCACCCACGGCCTGTCTGTCAGGCAGGCAGCAGCGAGCCTGCCACACTGCTGATACCTCATCAGTGAGTCCACAACACCCCGCAGCCCTCACTGAGCCCACAGAGAGTGCAGACACGGCTGGCTTGGGTGTGCACATAAATGGGTGTGAGTGAGCAGTTGTGGAGTATTCTGCTTTGTTCAGGTTGGCACTCTTGGAAGCTCCATGGTGACTTAGGACTGAATGCATTTCCCCAGCACACTACACAGTCTTCGGGTGGTCCATTAAGTTTAAATGGATTGTCCTTGATGCTGTCAGGAGTAGTTTTTCTACCTAATAGCTGACCAAGACCAACAAATACTAGACTTTCTTTGTTTGTGCACAAAAAAGTGTAAACTCTTAACTCTCTCGGCTGTACGACACCTGGAGAGAATCACTCACACCATGGCCCCCAAGACACACTCAAGTAGGGACTGGGAGGACAGGAGCTGATGAACTGAGATAAAAACAAAAGTGGCTTCCAAGGGTGATGAGCAAAAAGGCAGAGGCTCAGGAGGTGACTAAGGTGTCTTGAATAGGCAGGTACAGGTGTGTGTCTGTACATCCCAAGAAGGGACTAGGTAAAGAGGTCTTTTACGGTGTGGAGGTCCCTGTGCGCTGTTAATGCTGACATACTTTTGCAACTTAAACTTGTTCTTTCCTGAACTGCTATTTTTATGTGGGCAGATTGTCTTGCATTTCTGATGCCTGTTCTCATTCATACTGCACAGTTCTGTAGTCTCTAACACAAATCGGCAACATTTGGAGTTGTATCACTGGGCAGGACTGCCTCAGCCACAGTTCTATGGGTTCAGGGAGTCTGTTACTGAGAATCAGAGCTTAAGTGAAACTTCCTTAGGGTGGGAGAGACCTCAGGAGGGAAAAAGGTGTGTTGAAGTCAGAAGTCTCTAGAGCTGCTCTTCCTGGAAGAGCTAACACAGAATAACTAAACTCTACGAGAGGAGGAGAGTACTTTTGGTTGCTTTCTGTCTTACTCTGTTTAGTATTGTAGCTTTCTGGGATATAACTCATATCCTAGGCAATTCATCCATTCAAGGCATACAATTCAATAGCTCAGTTTGAACTGTGCAATCATTACCACAGTCAGTTTTAAAACATTTTCATCACCCCCCAAAGAAACCCGATACTCATTAGCAGTTACTCCACATTTCTACCCAATTTCCCCAGCCCTAGACAACTGCTAATCTACTTTCTGTCTTTATGGATTTGCCAATTCTGGAATTTTATATAAATGGAATCATACAATATGTGGTCTTTTGTGTCTGACTTCTTTCACTCAGCATGTTTTCAAGGCTCATCCATACTGCTATTTGCAATTCTAGCCCCAGTCTGAGGCTCTCTAGGACCTGTTATTTGTGCTGGAGACTGCATGTCCTTTTACACTCACTCTCCAGGCAAAACCTGCTGATTCAGCCTCATCTGTGAATTTTCAACAGCTTTCTGGATGGTGGCTGTTCTTACGGATGTCTCTGTCCACCCAACTGCATTTCACCTGAATGCAAGCTCTGGTCTCCCTCTCACTGACCTGGTTTATTGTCTCATCTCATTTCTGTTCCTCACTTCTAGCTCCTTTCCTGAAATCCCCTGTCTTCTCTCTGCTCATCACCAACTCTATTTTGATCAGTGGGCTTCCCTCGTGGCTCAGATGGTAAAAGAATCCACCTGCAATGCAATAGACCAGGGTTCGATCCCTAGGTTGGCAAGAGCATCCCCTGGAGGAGGAAATGGCAACCCACTCCAGTATTCTTGCTTCAGGAATCTCATGGACAGAGGAGCCTGGCAGGCTCCAGTCAGACACTACTGAGTGACTAATACTCACTCAAGTTTTGTCCATTTAGGGCTGGTCCATCACAAACCTCTCCTTATTGTGGGGATAGGTAACAGAGTGACATGCATTCCTGTGGCGAGAGTTTACTCATCACCAGAGAATTGAGGCAAGACTTTCTAAAACACACATATTATCTGAATCATTGATTTCACTTTCTACTTTGCTTCACCTACAAAGATGGGATTTTTCCTTAATGTTTATAGCCAATTAGCCTTTGAAAGGAATCAGTAATGAACAGTATGAAGTCTGGGGACAAATGTTTAACAAACAATCAATTGAAGATTTGGTCAGTAAAAGAAGGTACGTACCTGTGTTTGTAATCCTTTAAGACCCTGTTAGTGTAAAAGGTGGCCGCGTCGTTCATCTCCTTGACATAAGGACCAGGTTTGGGGGACTGAGAGAAGAGGGCCATCACCCAAGCATAGAAAGAAAAAAAATATAGGATAAGAAAGAAAATGCCTTAAAGAAGAAGAGAAGCAATGGAGATGTCAACTGGAAAACTGGAGGCAAATTTTGTTCTGTAAGGATCGGTGAAATGCTTCCTGCATCTCAGAACACAAAGCCCTGAACTTCAAGTGGGGGTAAGAAAGAGCTGCTGTGTTCAGCCTGAAAGGAACCTTCCTTTCACTGAAGGATGAAGGATGAAGGAAGCTGGAGGTGGCCACGAGTTTTCCCAAACACTCCAAAAACTCGCCGAGGCGCAGGGCGACATTCCAGCCAGACTCACCACGGCTATCCACCCAAGGGCGGGAATGCTTTCGCTGACGGCTGAGAGATGATTAAACATCGTACTCCCCCGGTTCCTCTCTCTGAAAGTCTGGATCTCCTGAATCTTTTCCGATATTGGTTTCAGAAGTGCAGCCACGTCGTTCTGTAAGCAAACATGGAGCACCGTTACTGAGGACAGACAGAAACATTGCGCCTCCATTCACGCTGACCTAAACAGGACTCAGCATTTGTCAGGGGCTTTCAGAATAGAGCGGATTTTTTTTTTTTTTCCTTATGGTCGTACTGTATTTTCACTCTCTGAAGTATGAAAATTGCATGGATTTCTTACATTATTAATACTGCTTTTGTAGGAATGGAAAAATATCCAGCCATAAAGTATGCCCCCTGTTTTGAAGACTTCTGAATGCAACACAGTGAAATTGAGTGCAGATCAAGTTATATTTTCTAATGGAGCACATAGATATATCACCTAATGGAATGATCAGAATAACATACACCTAAAATCGGGATAGGTAGAGGTTAGTAAACGGATATCTTCCTATTCCTGTGATGTGAGGGAGGGACAAAATTGGTTTTTACCATAATTACAATAACCCATGCAAAAAAAATGGAATTCTTTCACTGAGGTTCTTTGTAAGAAAGTGATGGCTTACGATATTTATGTCGGGCTGGTCCAAAAGACTAAGATGTTACAGGAAAAGCCCAAAGGAACTTTTTGGCCAACCCAGTAAGTGATCTCCAAGGTTTCTGCCAGTTTAAAAGTCTCTGAATGACAAGATTCACTGACCAGCTCTTTCCTATCACGTATCAGTGATATAAATGCAAGCAAAACACTTTCCAATTGAGATCTGCAGGTGGACAGAGGAATATTTTTCTTTGGGAGAAAGAGAAATACAGGGAAAGAAAGCAAAGTGTTCTTAAAGTTCTCAGTGGGCTTTTATTTCTTCTGCTTAATTGAGAAATAATTGACCTACATCACTGTATAAGTTTAAGGTGTTCAGTTCAGTTCAGTTGCTCAGTTGTGTCCAACTCTTTGCGACCCATGAACCGCAGCACACCAGGCCTCCCTGTCCATCACCAACTCCCGAAGTCCACCAAAACCCATGTCCATTGAGTTGGTGATGTCAACCAACCATCTCATCCTCTGTCATCCCCTTCTCCTCCTGCCTTCAATCTTTCCCAATATCAGGGTCTTTTCAAATGAGTCAGCTCTTTGCATCAGGTGGCCAAAATATTGGAGTTTCAGCTTCAACATCAGTCCTTCCAATGAACACCCAGGACTGATTTCCTTTAGGGTTGGGGTGTAAATACATGCAAATCAAACCAGTGCAATGATTTGATTTACATATACTGTGAAGTGATTACTATAATAGGTTTAGTTAATTAATATCCACCATCTGATATAGATACAATAAAAAGAAAAGGAAGAAAAAACGTTTATCCCTGCAATGAGAACTCCAAAGGTCTGTTCTCTTAACAGCTTTCCTACAGATCACACAGCAGTGTTAACTACAGTCATCATGTTGTAATTCATCCTATGATTTATTTGTAACTGGGGGTTTATACCTTATGACTATCTTCCTCTGACCCCCCCGCCCCATAGCCCCTACTTCTGGTAACCACAAATCAACTCTTTTTTCTATGAGTCTAGGTGGGTTTTTGTTTGTTTAGATTCCACATGTAAGTGAGATCACACAGAATTTCTTTCTCAAACATATTTCACTTAACATGATGCCTTCAAAGTCAGTAGACTTTTAAAATTCTTCCATCTTGAAGAAGGTGGAAAAAAAAAAAAAGTTTGCTTCAGAAGCAAGCCAGGTCTTGTGGAAAATTCATGAATACCTTCCTACCTTCTTACTGTCCCTTCCTGGCCATTATGAAGGAAAGGTCTTAGAGATTTGATAGGAAGACCCTGAACCAGAGTTGTTATGAGCTGTACTGTGTTCTTCCCAAATTCACATGTTGAAGTTCTAATCGCTGGTACCTCAGAATGTGACTGTATTATGAGGCAGGATCTTTAAAGAGGTACTTAAGTTAAATCTGAGGTCATTAGTATGGACCCTAAACCAATCTGACAGGTGTCCTCACAAGAAGAGGAGACGAGGATGCAGAGGCCACGTGATGACGCAGAGAGAAGACGGCCGTCCACAAGTCAAGGAGAGAGGCTTCAGAAGAAACCAGCCCTGCCGACACCTTGACTACGAATCTCCGTAATTCTGAGAACACACCTTTATTTGTTTAAGCCATCCAGCCCATGGTACTTTGCTCTGGCAACACTGGCAAACTACTGTAAAGATGTAATGACAGTATGGGCCTTCCAGGTGGTCAGTGGTGAAGAACCCCCCTGCCAATGCAGGAGACTTGGGTTGAATCCCTGGGCCAGGAAGACCTCCTGGAGGAGGAAATTGCAACCCAGTCTAGTATTCCTGCCTGGAGAATCCCATGGACAGAGGAATCTGAAGCCCATGGGGTACGACGGAGCGACTGAGCACACACACAATGACAGTGCAGGAAAAGCAAACGCCCCGCAAACCCTCAATAAACAGACAAACAAAACCTCTCTAAACAGTCCCTGCCCCAAACACAGCTCTTCCATGCTTCTTGGCTAATGACGGCCAAAGTCAGGTTGAAATGCCCTTCTTGGAATTTCACTCTTTAGAAGGCGAACATTTCCCTCTTTGAGAGACTTTTTTTTTAGTCCAAATTCAACACCCAATCAAAGGTGTGTTATACAGGTTTCCCCAGAAGGCAGTTGATTTTTAATTATGGAACACCAGTAAAAAGCATCCTAATTTTCTCCCATGATTTGCTCAGCCATGATGCTCTTGATGCAGTGACATTTTTGAGAAAGGCCAGAATATTTGAATTGTTAGTGATATCTGGCCTTTTGCCCCAAGAGGAAAAAGAACCAGAAACTGTGTATTTACAATGTTAGCTAGATTTATTAAGGCCATCCTTGTTTACCTCTAACTTCCCAAGAACAAACTCTAAAGTCTGAGGAGACAGTATTCTGAAAGATATTTCATATTGGTTATCTGATGAAAGCACCATAAAGACTGAGAAAGTTTTCTTTTGCCTTAGTTTGGCATTTGCGTGAAGAACTGTCCTCATTAAAAAAAAAAAAAAAAAGCAAAGCTGAGAGAACTAAGTACAACGGCTACTTCCAAAACCCTAATAAACAGTACAGCTTTTATTCTGTGCCAATAGATTTCTTGTGCGCTTTAAAGGAGGCTTACATTTTCCAGCTCATCCTGAACTTTCATAGCTGGAATCGAAAACACAGAGAGAACATTCGAGTTATGGTGTGATTTCCATCAAGGCTGATCCTGTGTGATATCAGGGGGAAAGTGAATGGTGGTGGGGGGGGAGCTGTTAGAGGAACTCCCATCTGTTTATGCATCAAGCACATGAGCTTCCCAGGTGGCACAGTGATAAAGAATCCACCTGCCAATGCAGGAGACTCAAGAGATGTGGGTTCAAGCCCTGGTTGGAAGGATCCCCTGGAGTAACAAATGGCAACCCACTCTGGTATTCTTGCCTGGAAAATTCCATGGACAGTAATTGGGCTACAGTCCATAGGGTCACAAACAGTTGGACATGACTGAGCACACACACAAGCATACTCAATACTTAGAGTTTGAATTGCACTGAGGTCAATTACCTCTACATCAAGGCTTCCCACTGATAGATTATTTTAGAGGCATCTGTTTTTTTTTTCCCCCAGTGGAATGCATTGGTGCTGGCTTTTCAGACAGAGCTAGAAGCTAGTGTGCTTTGAAATGACTTTATTTTTATCTACTTATTTAAACAAGTAGCCACGGGTCTTAGCCACAACACTTGGGATCTTTGTCACACCACACAGGATCTTTCGTGGTGGTGCACGGATTCTCTAGTTCGTGGCATGCAGGCTCAGTTGCTCTGTGGAATGTGGGATCTTGGTTCCCACACCAGGAACTGAACCTTTGGACCACCAGGGAAGTGCCTGGAATGACTTTAAATTGGCCAGTTTTATATGTCTCACTCAGATTACTTTCTAAAAAACTTATCACTTGAGGTTTTTTTTTTTTAATTCCAAGAGACACCTCCCTAAAAGAAAATTATTTTTCAAGACTTATGTGAAAATTAGCCAAAAAATCTCCCTCTCCCTTCTTCAGGTTTCTGTGGCTTGAACAGAAGGTCAAAATGGCCAAACTAGAGAAGATGCATGTGCAAACTGTGAGTTTCAGTGAGTGTGTTTCCAAGGGCTGTCTTAGCTTGATGGGACTGTACTTGGGAGAGTATTTCAGGATTCCATGTCTTTATGACCCTAGTTTTTAAATGCTTTAAAGTTGAAGAATTGAGACCCATTATCAGATTCATCTCAGTTTAGCTCCAGAAATAATTGTTTTGCAGAAAGTAAAACTAAAGAGCTTTATCAGCGAGCTTTGTAGAAACTTTACCCAAAAAGGAAAACCAAATTCCCACTCATGCTGTTTTGTAAGGGAGGGAACAAACTCTGGGAGTCTGACCTTAAAGATGTGCCACTGAGTAAAAAAAATAAGCTTGTTATTTCTGGAATCCATGGTTCTTGTGTAATTCTATGTCAGGTAGAAAATGGATCAATCTGCTGTTATTTCTTTCAAAATAATTTCTTTTCTTGATTATCCTCTTTATGTGAAAATTGGAGAATAAAGATGGATAAACTGTAAGTAAACAATGTTATTGTTCAGCCACCCAGTCATGTCTGACTCTTGCAACCCCATAGACTGCAGCACACCAGGCCTCCCTATCCCTCACCATCTCCCAAAGTTTGCCCAAGTTCATGTCCATTGCATCGCTGACACCCTCTTCTCCTTCCACTCTAAGTAAACAATAAACTTCCCTAAATCCACCACAAAGAGAAAAACACTGCTAAATGTTTTTTTTTTCTTGTAGATATAATTACTGCTGCTATCTTGGTCAATGGCATCAGAGTTCTTTCTCTCAAGTAATTTAGCTGAAAATTTTACAATTGTATTTGTACTTTATTTTGTCCATCCTGTGTTCAAAGTACCTCCAACCTAACCTTCTTTTTACTTCTGCTGATATTACTTTGCTTTGGACCCTACACCTGGATTCTGCAGGCTGTTATTCTTGGCTGTCTCGGGTGCATGCTTAGTTGCTTCTGTCATGTCCAACTCTTTGCAAACCATGAACTGTAGCCCACCAGGCACCTCTGTC